CAACCTAAGGCTAGCACAATTACATGTTGTTGGCATAAAGTACTGGAACAGTATTAACGTATCATCATCGGTGACCTCTGCTTGTAAGCAGAACAATGTATTTTCCATCTACAAAACATCATATTTGAATCAGGCCTTTTCCATTACATTAGCGGTCTGCATCTATAACTGGGCATTGGGGGGGGGGAAAGGGCTGGATTACACAACGGAACAAGTGCGTATCGATTGCATGATGTACTGACATTTAGCAAAGTACTTTTCTTTGGTTTGCTGCAAATCGATTGTCCAGAGAGCCCAAGCTGAACAACCTGTGCGGTCTAGTCATAGAGCTGGCCCAACAGCATGGCCTGCCAGCAGCATAACTGCTCCAGGTGTTTGCAAACCAACACTCCTTTGACTCTTGACGCTCTAAATAACCCTCAAGAAATGTAAGGCGAAATTTATAACAGTGGAATCAATACTGTGTTAATCAGTAATGCCTAATAAACATGCTGTGACATTCAATTAACAAATTAAAAGGAGAATTATATCAATACAAGCCCACAGATCTGGCAGTTTAGCAACTCAATCAAGGCATCTGTATGAAAAAATTCCACCTATTTTACATTCAAATATCAGAGCAAATCTCTCTAGAGGTTGACAGAAAACTGGGCCTGGTGTACATTGCTCCTCTGAGGTAAGCCAACTGTCCATCACTCTGAGTGTCACCCTGGAAATGCCTTGCCCCTCCCCCCTTGCCATTCAAAGATGGTTATGCAGTGGCATTTCAGCAAAGGTTAACTCATTCCCCCTTCAAATCAGATATTTGTAATTAGATTCCTACATCTAATGGGGACACGGAGGTTTCAAGGGCCGTTTAAAAAATGTGAAGAATGTTTAAGTAGCCACAAAAATCACTCACTTGTGCAATGGAGAGGTTTTACAACTCTTTGATTCTTAAGTCAGACCAACAGACTGAAGGGAGGGGCTTAATTTATTAGGAAAATATGCAGTGTTACAACAAAGCAGCAGCTGTGGTTAGTGACGCAGAACGTGTGCTGTGCAAACTCAATCAAATAGCTCACTTTCACAGTGATGAAAACTAGACTGCATACGTTTAGGTAACTAAGAATTGAAAACACATCAAATTCAGGCCTATAATAAAAGTGAGTGAAAGATGACTAACAGCACAAATCTGCCACAGTAAAGATTATCCTTCAATTTAAGCTTGTGCCAATATTATGACTGCATTTGCTCGGCAAAACAGTTTAAGTACAATGTGACGAGACTAACAAACAAACAAAAAAAGTGTTCCTTAGCAAACAAAAAAAATGGATTAAGATAAATTTGACAGGTGCCTAATGTGCCTAATTACACAACAAAAATATCTATACATAAGTGAGAGTTAGACTCTAACACTGTGTCAATCTACCACACACAGATAGTTAATCCATGGATGTTCTCATCAAATGGTAAATGGCCTGCATTTGTATAGCGCTTTTCTAGTCCCTAAGGACCCCAAAGCGCTTCACACTACATTCAGTCATTCACCCATTCACAAACAGGCGATGGCAAGCTACATTGTAGCCACAGCTGCCCTGGGGCACACTGACAGAGGCGAGGCTGCCGGACACTGGCGCCACCGGGCCCTCTGACCACCACCAGTAGGCAAACATGGGGTTAGTATCTTGCCCAAGGATATTTGGCATGCAGTCAGGAGGCAGCCTGGGATCGAACCACCGACCTTCTGATTAGTGGCTGACCTGCTCTGCCACCTGAGCTACAGCCACCCCAATACAAACTATGAGTTTAACAAAGCTCAGGCCTAACATCTGAAGAGTCACACTTGAGCAAACATGACTGAAATAAATAATTCAAAGCGAAGATTCAAAGCGAACAGACACGAGGCGAAATCTGCCTCAATTAATAAGTCGTCTCAATGAGACGGTGGGCCAGACAGCGCGGTTAAAGGCTTCACGAACATCCCGTTCGAAACCACCATTGTAAATGGTTAGGTCTATTTTGAATGCTTCGCAAGGCTGTTCTCTGAGAGCAGGTACAGATGGGATCGTGCTGAAATATCAGCGGTCCATTACCAAAGGCAATCCTCGCTACAACACCATCTGGTGAGGATGGCTCTCACTAACAGTTGGTGCAATCAACTACGCTCTTCTCTCTGATACCTTCATTATCCCACTACTTACAGAAGTAAATGTTACTGCTTTAAAGTGCCAATAGTGGAATAAAAGTTAACATGCTTATTGTAATTTATTACAGAAAACCTGCTAAGAAACCACATTTAAAGAAGCTTTAAAGAACAAAGAGCACACAACTGCTTAAATACAGAGCACTACACTAGGTATGGCTGTGTGATTATTTACCTGTAATTGCCCACTGACTGCTACATGAAGATATAGGATATTTTTGAAAATTATTAGAAAATTCTCTGGATAGTTTTTCTGTGACTTGTGCCGTGGAGTCACGCAGTATGTCCAAAATGACAAGTCTCTTAAGCCCTAAACTGTCATGCGTATGTAAATGTCCATGTGCAGCCTACAGATCACAGTACTTTCTAAGTGTTGTGTCATCTGGCGGCATTGCGCTTTTGATCTGTTGCCATCAGAGAATAAATGCTGCACTGCACATTTCAAGGACAGCTTTGTACCAGGGACATCAAATTAAGATCACCCACTCACCCCACAGGGGTAAGTACATTTTGGAGGCTGGTGACTGTGGGAGCAAATAAAATTTCACTGCTCTACAGTCAGATGACTGTTTTGTATCCACTTTAAAATGCAAGGGTACATTGTTGCTCCTACCGCTCACTGCTACGGATCAGACAGTTTGAATTTAAGGTATGCTCTTTATGCAGTTTTGTCAGGATCAGATGCTGAAATTGTGTACATTATAAAAATGCTTGATGCCACAGTTTACGTTTGTTTTACACATAATATTAGCAACAAATACTTCAGTAGGTCAATTTTATTAGTTTAACAGTAATATGTGCCTGTTTTTATCCTACTAGAACAAGTCTTCTTTAAACGGAGAATATAGAGAGTAAATCTAGCATATAGAGAATAAAAAGTCCTCTGTGGGATATATGAAGCTGTCTAAAGCTCCTGTCGAGCATGCACTCAGATGACATTCAAACACATTTCATGCCTGAGTGACCATAATAGTCACTTTGCCTTAAAAAGCAGCAATGGCAATCTCACTAGATTGGACATTTAACATTTACATATCACTTTCAATATGAAACAAGACTGAGCAGTGCACAACTGCATTAATGGATAAGCAAGAGCATGATTCCAACTGTACATGCGTCTGTCTGACTTTCTCAACTCACTATGAAAAATAGTGGCGTTAGAGAGGGCTCTAAATGCCAATGTACATAACAAAAATCTAACTCGCCCACTTTGTCTGCCTTTCTTTTAGTGTTTAAATATTAACACAAAGCCAACTGCTAAGTTGGGGAAAACCAGCCCAAAGAGCACTTAAAAAAATGTTGTGGTCACAGTGATTTAACTGGAGAAATGAGTACCTGACCCCTCCTCACTGCTTTTGTTACACGGGAAAACCAAGTGTTAGATGCTTGGCTTGGGTCTGCATGGTGTCATTTTTAACATGACTTCTCTGCCGGGACTCTTCTGAAAACCTATGCCACAACCTGATGTGTACATCTCTAGAAATGCGATGCGTCGACAGAGCTGGCAAATTTTGCTCTGTTGGATATCGTCGATTCCTCCTGTGTATTTCCGGCTACTTTTTAACAACGTTTTTTGAGTGGATGGTTGAAAGAATAATAAGGAATAGTGCAGACGCTAGAACCACTCGTGTGGGTAAGTCAGCCGTTAGTGAAAGTGTATCTTTTGAAATGCGTTGGTTATAGCAGTAAGTCACAACTTTTACTTCAAATGTCAATATTCTTGGTTTTTGGTTTATGGCCCACT